ACCATTGAATATGGAAATAATCCCAAGAAAGCTGAATTGTTTACGGATGAAACAAGGCTGTCGGCTAGTATTTTGCCATCGCCCGAGATATGATAACACTTAGATCTATCACTCATGCGTTTTATTAAATGACTGTATTATTAAGAGAAAGGCCAAAAACCGTCGGCAGGAGATGGACATTGGCCAGCTGCACGACATCCGCGAGACTGAATGCTTCGAATGTTATCGTATTCAGTGAATGGAACATTTTTAGAAGCGAAAGTACCCGCTCAGTGGTTGAGGCCTGAAACAGAGATTGATAAAAATGTGAAAGCCACTGAAGCCGTGTTGAGCAAACTGTGGAAAATTTGCAGTAAGGTGATGCATTCGAACAGTAACAAGGAAGTAACTGAACAAGGAAAACTCAGAGCAGAGCAAAGTGGAGAAACTGTTAAAAAGCGGTCAAATGACAGATATTGCCGAAGTACTGCGATTTAAAAGTGGGCACTTTTAACTTGAATAAAGAAGGATTTTTGGGTGATCTTAGAATCTTCAGGTATTAGAGGATCTCTAATTTCAGGTGTGGGCGCAAGGCTGAAGAAAGTTTGCATGCAAGCAACCTTGAGGAAAGTTCTTGCAAGCGTCAAATGACTCAGTTTCTCCATACTAGTCATTGCTTCAGCAATTTCAACCACTGCTGCAGTACGATTCTGTAAAAAAAGTGCTTTAACAGAAGTTCTCGCATTATCGATGAAACAAACATGTTTTAGTGAAAAATCTTGTGAGTACGTATGTGTTTGTTTCCGTACCCATGTGTATACACGTGCGGGGGTACTTGCATGAGCTTTCAACAGAGCAACCAAAAAAATACTAGGAAGCTGAAATTTTAGGATGATTTTTTTGTCTTTGTGCGATTCTGGCCTTTAAATTCAGTTTCACTATGGACCCATGCCTTACTCACAAGTTAAAGTCCAAATCGAAAAATGTGGGCTCCCATTCTAGCTGTACATAGCGGAACTGTGCAAAACGCATGTTTGCATTGGCCACCTGATGCACGTCACTGTTTTTATACTCGCATTCAGATGCTGATATAATTGATGCTAAAGTTCTATTTTGAGGTCAAACGGTTTTAATGCCGTTTTCCCTAATTACATACTTGCGCATCTTAATCGGCTAATTACCTCATCATTGTCTAGAAGTAGCAAAATTCGAGACGGGGAGGTGAAAAACGATACACATCAAAGTCATTCTTCAACGGTTAAGTGCTTCTGTTGGAAGAACCACTATGCTGGTAATCCCTTCAGCAGACGTATCGGATGTAAAGCTGCCCAGTAGGCTGTCCGCCAGCCGATGTTTGAAAAGCTGTCCTATGCATAGCTAACAAATCAGACTGTGATTTATTAGCTAATTCAGGTCTCTAAGTGAGCAACCTACAATTTAGTACAACAGAGATAAATGACGAACTTCAGCTGTGCCAGCTCCTTCCGGTACGATTACTGTAAGCAGTAGTTCAAGGCGTCGTACTGTAGTAGCGAGAGCACGGCATATTGCCAACAGGTGACGAGCACGAATTCGATGGGTACAGATACGAAGATCTTGGATTGGAGCGCAAATCTGATCCAACGGTGGTACCTCGAACGGGGCCAATGACTCACGAATATGTAGAGTACGAAGATTTGGCAGCATCAAGAAATCACTTAGCGTGTAAAGAAGGCTAGAAAAGTTCGAATTTCTTTTATCAAGCAAAATATAACTTTGAAAATCACTTGAAAAAAAAACAAAGTCATTACCAAAACCGCTCGGACAACCGATTTCAAAATTCTTTTCTGGTGATGTTACAGGAATGGACGAAAGCTTAGAAAAAATTTAAAATTGGGAATCGGATATGTTCTGATCATTAGTGACACGATTTGCTCGTGATTCTTCGTTCCTTCAGTAAGAAAGTTTTTCAGCTAAAACACATTAGTTTGGAGAGGATGATGTGTGTTTTGGGCGCCTAAGTCACAAATCGAAAAATTCACCTCAGATTATCTCGGATGCTGCACAGTTTTACGGTTTCCAATTTACGTAGCAGCGCGAAGAAGCCCTCTTCGAGAGGAATTTTGTTGCAACGATCAAGAAGTCGCATTGTTGATGATTCCACCAGTAAAGTTTTCACATTGCTAGAAACCACTGTCATCGAAAAACTGCTAATGCTTCAGTGTTTTACATTCAAATGTGAAGTGCTTCAAGGTAAAATTTTGTTGCAAAAGAAAAATTTTCGAAGCAGAATGAAAGGACCACACCATACATTTACATAGACTTACGCTACTGGATACGTTTTCCTAATATCATGAAAAATGCGGGGAATTATGCCCCTGTACTGACTTGTGCAGTCTTAGAAAACGAATCTTTGTGCGAATCTTTTTCACTTTGCTTCGTCGGTGAATTAGTTTTGGCGTGTTCTGGGAAGTCACTCCTGCCATTAGCTTGTTTCTAAGCAAAATGCAAAAGATTGGGTCGTCGACAGTCTCGTCATTAGTTGAGTGGAACTGGCACTTGCAACTATTTGGGCTAGTTTCGAGTGCCCCTCAACTTTTGCTGAGGGACCTTATTAGTATGATTTTATAATAATTTCATTGTTATTGCCTTTGCAAGTGTAGTTTATACTATTTCGCAGCCAACTTGCCAATTCGATCACATCGTGGAAGGAGGAGGGGGTTCGAATATACTCTGGAAGAAGTGTTCGAACCTCTCAGGGTTCGAACGATCTCGTTTTACTTTAAGAGGCAAAGGTATCCATTAGGCGAGAGTAAAGTACAGGAAAAAATTAGCTAAAAAGCGTAAAATTTTTCGATCATGGCAGTTGTAAAACAGGAATAAATCTGGCAGTAAATAACGTCCATATACTATGGTTCCACAAAACATTTCACACTTCGATTTTTGATCAATGCTTACATTAAGTGAAACAAGTGCTGGAAATGCGCTGAAATTTACTACATGCAAAGTCTCATTCTACAATCTTCCGAGAGTGCGAAAGCTTTATTCCTCCTACAAGTAAGCACAGTCGAGGCAAGGAGGCTCTCAGGGAGCTGCAGATGCGGAAACTATACCGAAAATTATGAAGCATCGGTATTGCTTTGCCTGTTCGAATAACACCAACGGTAGGAGAATTG